AGAAAGAAGGAGAGAGAGGACTGCTGGAGATGGTGGGTGCATTTCTATTGCATGTTTTGAAATCTCTCTCTCTCGCTCCCCCTCCCTCCCGCTCTCTCACACGTTGGGGCCATGTGCAGTAGACTTGTCACGTGCTGATGCAGAGAGCAATGGAGAGAGAGACTGAGGGGAAAGAACGGACAGGGGCGGAAAAGGAGGGGCAAGAGGCATAGAAAGAGAAAGCTAAAAAGATATACGTTTTAAAAGATATGTATGCATATGCCTGGTATTTGTCTTTTCTTCTTTGTAAAACAAATGTTTGATTGTGTTTGGACATCTGAAACAGATCAAGTTGTGTGTGCTGTGTATTGATATGTGTGGTGCCAATGATGTGGTTATAATTGTATATTTAAAGTACATTAACGTGTGTAGATAGATAGATAGATAAAACGAGAGAGATAGACTGCATTGGGTTTGCCTTTGTATAGATAGACAGATAGATAGATAGTATCAGAGAGAGACAGAGAGATAAAATTAGGTTTGCCTTTGCATATATAGACAAATAGATAGATAGATATACAGACAGACAGACAGATGTATAGGTAGAACAATAGATAGAATGATAAAACTAGATAGATAGATAGATAGATAGCATTTGGTTTGTCTTTGTATAAAACAATAGAATGATATATAGAATCATTGAACGATAAAAAGAACGATAGAATGATAGAGAGATAGCATTTGGTTTGTTTTTGTATAAAATAATGGAATGATATATATATATATGATAGAACAATAGATAGATGGGCTTGCCTTTGTATGGCAGTATAAACACTGTATGTCATTGTGTGTGTTTGTATAGCTTGTACAGTGTGAATTGTGCACACAGCTGTGTCTCTTGTTTATGTCTCCTCCCGCATAGAAAGGAAGAGGCCCAAAGGACAGTTGGTCTTGTACATGCTCATGGGAAAAAACACTTTTTCCCTTGCTGGATTTCAGATAGATGAGGATTAGTACAGGAACTGGACAATATGTCGGTTTGGTGGGAGCACGCTTTATGTAACAATCTTCCTATATCACTTTGTGTTGGTCTTTGTGCGTTGTCTTAATGAATGAAAAACAAATCTTTGGCAGGCCTCCTTGGAAGCTCATTATTAAATTACAAAGAATTTGATTATGTTTACATGACAATTTGCTTTCGAGAGCTGTTTTAAGTGTGAAGCCGGATTGTTCTGTTATAAAGTCTGAAATAAACAGAATTATCTTATTTCAACATTTATAGCCAGGCGATGTTTAAAGGTGCATACCACAGCAAATGCTACTCGCATATAATTAGCCCTTAATAATATGTGTGTATCCCAAAATACATTATATCTGTGTAAGAAGGTACTCTGGAACAATTTAAAGCAGCGGCTCAGAACCACTAAAGCAGAAACTGCCATTACAGCTAATGTATCATAATTAACGTCAAGTGCTCGCCTTCCAATCTGCTCTAAAAGCGTATTTCACACTAAAAAGAGGAAGAATATATGAGAAGTAAGCAAAGTGCTGGAAAACGAGGCCCAATGAATTTAAACGATCTCGGCCGTGAACAAAATGTGAGCGTTTTCAGAGTCAGTTTTATGGTGTTTCTCTGGATGTTTATAACATGAATTGAAACTGCAGGTTGGCTTGTCAACCTTGCCTGCCAGCTGCTGAAATTGGCAAGTGTCCACGGTGGCTTTTGGCGCCACCTTGTGGCCAAAACAAGCCACTGCATCTAGTCAGGGAACATACAGTACACTTGTATTGTTCATAATCCTCTTTGCTTTTAGCCCAGACTCCTGGTGTTTTCATCTGTCATGGTAACATGTGGTCTGCGACATGTGAGAGACTATTTGTTCCTGACGCTTCTTTTATTTTCTCAACAGGGGCTCAAACTGTACCACCTGACCCTTCTCCGAGCCCCTCCTGCCCACCTCCGCCGGTGGCGCCGCCCACCAATGTGGCTGATGTCATGGTGAACTTTGATCCCGACCCCGCTGACCTCGCCCTGTCCAGTGTGCCAGGCCAGGAGGCGTTCGACCCGCGCAGGCATCGCTTCACAGAGGACGAGCTGAAGCCCCAGCCTATGATCAAGAAGGCCCGCAAAATGCTGGTGCCAGATGAACAGAAGGTACTACAGATCATTTTATTTTTATCATGCTGCTGGCAAGCATCTATGAATAATCAATTAAATAAATAAATGAAAATTAAATATTCCAAAAATTTCTAAAGGATAATATACAGTTTTAAGCAGCATCCTAAAGCCTCGTACACACCGTGATGATTATCGCGCGTGCTTATCGCAGACGTTTTTCGACGCGTCTTTTGTGTTCATACTCAAGCGATTTTCGCTGGCGATGAGCCGAGTGAACATGCAAATTCTCTCCCTGACATTAGATGGCGCTTAATGAAAAACAGAAATACCCCGGTACACATCGAATCCTATTTGATCTGCAATTCCTCTCCATAACAACTCCCTCTTATCGAGATTTTTGTCACGTTTGTCATAAAGCCCTTTGTGTTCAGACACCAATGGGACCAGCAGCTCTACATTCATCTTGGTCTACTTACTTCCTCTTCGTCGTTAGGTATCAATGTTTACTCGGCATGACCGTTTTGTGCTTGAGCGCCACCAAGTCGTGTTTTACTGTAACTTCAGCAGCTCCAGGCCCATGAATAAAAGCGCCAATCTCATTGGTCGGCCAGTTTTTAACACGGCGCATCAAACCGAGTCTGAGGCGTTTTAAAAAAAAGTATGCTTTTAAATGAAATACTGTCTAATTACTCATATATCATGTATCTGTAATTATGATCTGACCCTTTTCCCCATTTTTTACCTCCAAAGGATGACAAGTACTGGAGCCGACGTTTCAAAAACAACGAAGCAGCAAAGCGTTCTCGCGATGCCCGCCGATTGAAGGAGAACCAGATTTCAGTCCGAGCGGCGTTCCTGGAACGGGAGAACTCCGCCCTTCGCCAGGAGGTCGCCGATATGCGAAAAGAGCTGGGCCGCTGTCGCAACATCATCAGCAAATACGAGAGCCACCACGGAGACTTATGAAGAAGAGAAAGGAAGAACAGAAGGAAGAGAAAGACACAATTACTGATTTTGAAATAGCGTTTCAAGGGCTGTTCAACTCATCCTGGAATTGCATTTTCTCGTAGTGTTTGCTTCAAATAAGCATTACGATACTCTGTTCACTGATTTACATTTTTTTCCGTACGTGCAGGGATCGGTTGAATTAGCTGGTGTGGTGCTTGGTTGAAACAAATACTTGAAAATTGTGGTTCAACAGCCCCAGCGCGAGGGATGTGCACAAGGTCTACCTGTACTGTAAGCACAAGCGCATTTCATAAGCATCGGCTCTTCTCCTACGATACACCTCAAACCTTGACTGAGGATGTGCAATCCAATCTCTCAAAAATACTCACGGATCATAAAGGCAGATCATTTATAACGTCACGTAGCCCTTGTGAACATCCTCTTTCTATACGGGGTGATTTTCTCAGAGAGAGAACTATACAGGAGGTGGTAAAGATGTAATTTTTTCTATGACAAAAAACACATTGTATATTTTTGAACTGTTAGGGTCAGCTATAATAGAGTAGATGAAGAGGTGGAGGAGGAATGTGGATGGCGGCGAGAGCGCGAAAGAGATTTTGACATAGGAAAACTGTATATTTTTATACTTGCAGAAGGAGGCAGGCGATGAGATTTTGGAAATAATCTTTTTTGTATATTTTATATATGGGTGGGAGGGTGCGGGGAGCTGGACCGAAAGAGGGCTATATGAAGAAAAAGTCAGGATCGTTATCATTAAATGATATATTTTCAACATCAGGGGCAGTCAGGCTGGTCAGGAAGAACAAGACTAAAGGGATGAACGTCAATAGGAGTTACGAAAAGAAACGGAGCTGATGAGAAACTAAAAATAGCGAACATGAAAACTGTATAGTTTCAAATTTTCATCATGGATTTGTTCAAGCACTTGTTTTAGTATCTTTGATTCCTTTTCTTAAAAATCAGTGTGTGTGTTTGTTTTATCCTGAGGTGAAAGAGAGACAGAGAAAGAGAGAGAGAAAGATGGCATTACATCCTGTCACTATGTCTCAGGAGTCGCCAAATGTGTACAAGATTTTTCCGTGTATATATTTAAATGTTAAAGCAAATACGTACACACACACACACACTCTTTTGAACACAAACTGGACGTGGGTTTTGATGGCCAGTATGTATATGCACAGACAGACTCTTTGAAGACGTGAACCACAGAACTGTTAAACACAGCAATATCCTTTCTCTCTCTTTCTCTGTTCCTGGAGTTTTTGACATTGTGATCGGTGCTGGTTTGGCATTTCTCACCCAGGTCGAGTCGGCAGCGAGTGGGTTGCATGCTGGCGCATGCTTGCGTATTTTTCCGCCGCAGGAAAAAACACTCTTCGTGTTTACGACCATCATTTTATATGGCGCTCACCCAGTCTCTTGACCCAGACGCACATAACCCAACAGTTATAACCTGTTTGCCTATAACCTTTGCTCTTATGATTTCTTATGATTATTGATCATTGTATGAGGGATCGTATACATACATATATATATATATATATATATATATATATATATATA